TTGTTCAGAGCCGATCCAATAAACATCGCAAGTGTTTGAATATTGATCATTCTTCTGGGATGTTTGGAATTTAGCAGTATACTGTACAGGCATACAAAGATAACTGCCTACTTAATCTGGAATATCAAGGTGCCTGTTATTGCAAGATTTATTTTGGTTACAAATAGTAGAAAAAAAAAAGAAAGAGACTGAAAAGGTCTGCCCTTAATTATGCAGTGCCCATTGATTCAAGGTGCCCATTAATCAAAGTTCTACTGTATCTTTATAATAAAATTAAGGTTCTATTCATTGAAATGTGAAAAAACTCACCAATGAAAGGCTCTGCTAACTTCTCATCACCACACCAAGATTCATTACTCTGCAGGCATAAAATAACTCTAACATCACTAAAGCCTTCTTGTGGTGGTTTTAGGTAAACAACTGTATTCTTCTGCTCAACTTCAAGTAATGCTTGTTGTTGCCACTTATCTGTTTCTTTAACTCTAGCTTCAACCTAATAGAAGGATAATTAAAAAGCATTCATTTTAAAAACAATCATTCATCTTCTCTGAAAATGTTTTTCTTCTGTCCTCAAGTTTCATACCACACCATGAAAAACAATTTTCTGTAATTTAAAATGTTCACAGTAATAACTTTAAATATCCATATAATTTGAAATATTTGAGATAACAAGAAATATAAGCAAATCAATTATAAATTAAAACAAAAAGAATATTGTGCATTTTCTTATCCTTATTTAAATTTTCCCATTTCATAAATTAAAAACAATATAATACATACTTTGATCCATATGAAACATATTTATGTTTGACAATGATAAGACATACATGAAAAATAAAAATTTTAAGATTATATGCATATATTTGAAACTAATTTAAATCTTAAATAAAGTGAAGAAATTTTGATCATAATTTAGGACAAAGCTGATGACCCAAATTACAGGTATGATAGGCCACACCTCTAATTTGGGTAGTCAGGTCTGTCCTACATCATGAACAAAATCTCTTCGTTTTACTGTTGATTTAAATTATTTTGAAATATATGTATATAATCTTAAATGTTTATATTTTCTATGAATGTGTTATCATTGTCAAACATAAATATGTTTCATATGAATCAATATATGTATTATTCTTAATTTATGAAATGGGATAGCTTAAATAAGGCCTATCATAATACTGTTTTATACACATTATTTTTAGAATGTAAAAAGAAAAACAATATTGCAAATGCTACTTACCTTTGCAACCAGTTTAAGCATTTTAGAATCCACAATGAAAGAGAGTGAGTAAGTCTCCCTGTTGAATTGAGCATCAGTTGCACGAGGCATATCTGAAAGAAAATCAAAAATATTTAAAAATTATTTTTTGCTATCTCTGGCAAAATTATTACTTAACAGATCTTATTTCATTTTGCTTAGCATTTACTCACTGCTTTCTGAGACAAGAAATTATGAGTTGCCTTTGTTTTGATACCTCACACAGTTTTCTGCTACATCAACCAAGGAAGCAAATATTGTTTATATATATACATATAATTATTATTAACTCCTGATCAAAGCAAGCTATCTACATAGATCAGAAATAAAAACTTACCCAGTAATTAATACTGTTAACTTAATACATTGGTATAACTATTAGTATACAGTATCATAAAACAACAACGTACAATAATTAGAATGTAATGATCATCAGGTGGGCACACTTGCAATTAGGAATATGTTTGGTTGTGACCGAGCTATGTTCACTGTGGGCTATATTCTTTCCAGTTATCTATCAGTTAGCTGTTTTACCACATTTATTCAAGAAAAGCTACTTATTTCTACTTTGAAAGTGAAGAAAAAAAAAATGGTCTCTTACCTTTTATGTTAACTGTAAAGAAAGAAAAAATAATAAAATTGAGAATAAAGCATGTAATAGAAGACTAAAAATAAACAAAAATATGTATATACAGTTATAAAAAAAGCATGCTTCATCTTATTTTGGAATTTTACAAGTTGCAGGAAAAAGTGACTGTTATTTCACAAATCCAGTAAAACTATTATAATAATTACAAGATAATTATATTATAAACAATTATTTTATTAATCTATATAGATATATCTTTACAAGAAAGAACCAATAAAATAAATACATTTCTACTGCTATGGAGCAAAAGTATGGTTAATTATATACATATGATACAAAATCTTATAAAAAGTAGACAAAAACAAAACTATACATTTATATTATATATAATATAAAAATTATTTATTATATATATGTAACTTATTTGACATCACAGTTTCAATTTTAAACCTTTCATGCATAAATCTTAGTCAAAATTGTTTCAGGACAAAATTTTATATGAACTGAGTTATAACAATTACATAAATATATGAAGCAAAATATTTCAATATAGGAAAGATATATATGCCAGTAATTAGCAAATGACTTTTCTTCATTCAATTTTAACAACTTTATCCCATTATGACTAGTTCTTATTGTTTAATGAATCATTTCCAAATCAAATAAAAAACTTGCCTTTAGTAGTAACTGAAATTTCATCAGAGTAAGAACTGTATCCACGTGGGTTTACTGCCATAACTTTGAAATTATATTCTGTCTTTGACTGTAAGCCTGCAAGTAGACAATATATATACATATGTTCAAAAGGCTTAGATCTGAAAATGACACACACTCAAAAAAAAATTGATATAAACCAACATTCAAGACGTGATGCTGCTGAACAGAGTTCTACACGTTCAGCTCAGCTATGTCCGTACATTATAAAAAGGACAGTTAGTCGTATTATTTAAAAACAAAATTAATTTTAACAGTAGACGAGTTTTGCTTTTATTGATTACAACATTTTGATCTGTAGCAGGTTCCTCACTAAACATTAATTATTTTATTCATTTCCCTATGGCTAGTATTAGTTGTTCAAAATTATATTTGAATCCTAGGAGTCTTTGACTGTATGTTTAAGAACATGCTTAAACGTGGATAAATTTTCTTTCACTTCCCTCATCAATAATATAAAGGGTAGACGTCATAAGTTACTTTTAAATAGAAAATTTTAAATCTAGGCAATATTTAAGCCAGTAAATGAATGTAGAAGACAACGAGATTCAAACGGATTTACATACGGAGCAATTTAAAATGATCAGTTAATTACTTTATTCGTAGAAATAATGTAAAAGTAATATATAAAGTGCACTTTCAAGATTGCTTTTTATTTTTAATATGAATGACAAAAGACGAGAATTTAGCATGTTACATGATATTTAATTAGAAGTATAAAGAAAACAGAGATATGATAATTTGAAGTAGCTCATATTTCTATTTCTAACGGAACTTACTTCGGTAAGCTCGACTAAAGACGAATGTACTGCAACTAATAAAATTAATTGGTCCTTAATTAATTCACTCGCCTGTGATTTGACAAGGATTGTGACTTCGACATGACTCATTTTTTGTCTGCATGGTTTCGAGATTTATGTAGTTGACAAGAAACTCTGTGTTGGAAAATCCTCCATTAAATCCTTCAGACCATTGCAAAGTGACTCTGTCGAAGCTTATGTCCACAACATCTAACATAGAAGGTCTATCTGGAGCACCTGAAAGGGACATGACATACATGTACATTCACAGTATTTGCGCTAAAAAAACATTCGATTTTGGAACAAAATATAGGTCTTAAAAGAAGTTCAATGAATTTACTAAAGAAGTTTGAAGAAGAAAACTCGTCAAGTTTTAAATGTGTTTAATTAATAGCGACAGCAAATTTGTGACGATTTTTTTATTTATTTGGATTAGGTTTTGTACTTTTAGAGAGTGTCATTTAATTGCATACATTTAAACGTTATGCAGATACCGTCAAGTATATAGCGCCAATGCCGACAGAAAAGAACACATTTTCTTCTCAGTACATGAGGGATACAAAATTCACAAAACGATGATTTTCCTTATATCATTAATGTATTAATTTTGGTTCTTATATCAACTTTAACTAGATAGCTACAAAACAATTTCTACTTGCACATACTCTTTGTTACTAGTTTTATAATTGTTTTTTCGTCATCTCCAACTTGATTCCACGCTCGACATGTGTAGTCTCCAAAGTCAGATGTCCTGATGTCTTTAATCGAGAGAATTCCAACGTAGACGTCATCTCCGAGATCTGTGACATTAGTAGAGTAGCTACCATAATTATCCACAATTCTTCCTTTATAGAACCATTCAAAACTAGGTAATGGGTAAGCCTGCATTTTACACTGTAGAATAGCTGTCTCGCTAACATCAAACGCAACTCTGTTGTATGTGTGACGGACAATAGGTGAATCTGAAAGTATTGAACATATATCGGTAAATAACTTTTTTCATTCATAATTTTATCAAAATAGATAAAATAAAATCAAGTTTTTAAAAATGTTGTTAATAAGATTTAAATTAAATGTGTTAATCTGTAATTAAGTGCGATTTCATCGTCAAAATAAGACGCTGCCTCAAATTTAGTGAAGTATATCAAGCAAAAGTATGTCTTACGTTTAATTCTTAAATTCATTTCCGATCTCGCTGGTTCTCCAACACCATTTTCAAACACACAGCTATAGCGCCCTCTATCAGAGGGTGAAAGAGAAGTATCCCTTTTCTGTGGACCATCAAAGTAGAGTGTACTCTGCACAGAAAATGCATCATTGTCTTCAAGATGACTTGTCGTGTCGACGCGGAAAAATTCACTGTTGTCAGTAATTTCTTTTCCGTTTCGAAGCCATCTGACAAGCGGTTTTGGTTTACCTCGAGCTTTACATGTAATACTGAAACCTTCGTCACCATCTTCCTTGACAACTTGCGGGCGTAAAGAAAGCAGGACTGACGGTGGTTCTGTAATCAGTAACATATATACACTTATTATAGGTTGCAATAGCTGTAATCTCTAAATAAGTTAAAATTGTACTTTTTGTTATAGAAAATTCATTAGCAAAAGCTGTTGTGTCAAATTGAACTTGTTTTGAGCAACTGCGAAGCAGTTTTCACTAATGGTAGTTTTACAGGTGAAGGCATTAACAACAGCGAAAAAAATTATTTGATGGGCTACACAGTTCTTGCTGAAATGCTATTTGCTTATACATTATAGACTTTAATATTCCACAAATATTTGGACATATCAAGTTTAGTAAAACAATCGCAAAAACTTTAAAAAATTGAATATTGCTAATATCAAAACCTTTTCCATATTTTATTGCCATTTAACACCAAATTAAGACTTTATAATACTATAAAGACTTACGGTATAAGATAACATTAACCATGATCTGACATTACTCATAAAAAATTCTCCAGTGGATCAACGGTAAGTTTATGGGCTTACAACGCTAAAATCCGGGGTTCGATTCCCCATAGTGGATAGAAAGCAAAATAGTCTATTGTGTAGCTTTGTGCTAAAAACAACAACAAACAAATAAATAAGAAAAAAATAAACAAACTTATAAACATCCCGCGCCAACTTGTCTTGAATTTAGACAAATGATATTCAAATATAATGTATCTGGATTAACTGATAGAGTGAGTGTGAACACCTAAATAAAGTTATCGAACTACCAAAATATACTGCTACTACATACCACCCACCTTAATACAACATGACATTATGTTAAATATGGTGCCGAAGAGATGCAGTACTTTTACTAACCTTGCACTGTCAGGTATACTGAAGATGGGACTCCACGACCCAAACTGTTTTCAGCTTGACAGAAATATTCTCCTTCATGGCTGATATGAACGGGTAGGATTGTATAATTAACAGTTCTCCCTAGAACTACGTTTTCTTGTCCTGCTCGCCACCATCGAAATTCAGGCTGAGGCCAACCTTCTGGATTAGCAACACAAGAGAGAGTGAAGGGTGTACCAGATGTGGCCACGGGATTAACCGGGAAGATTGTTGCAACACCAGGTTTGTCTGTAAAATGGATAGTGAGGATTTCAATAAAACCAAATATATTACAAGAACTTTCCCTTATTGGAACAATAACTAATTATTAATCAGTCGCACACGAGAAATAAAGGTATAAACAACAGTACATAAGATAAGTTAGCTTAAGGAATTCGTTACTCACGCTTGATTACAATTTGGACAATACCACTGCCAGACATTTCTTTCTGTGTAATGGATCCGGATGGTCTTAGCATGTTAGTTGCTTTACAAGCATATTTTCCCGTGTCGTGAATTGTAACTCTATTTAGCCGCAAGATGTCGCCAGTTTGTCTGAAGAAAGCGTCATCCACTTTTAGCCACTGTATAGAATGAGGAGTGGGATTCGAGTCAACCTTACAAGTAACCGTCAACGATTCTCCCAATATTACTTCTCGTAAAGGCTCAACTGTGACTTTAGGTCCATCTAAAAATAAAAATTCGAAAACTGTTTATTAGCTCAATAACATCAGTTGTATAGATTTAGTGTTTTGTACATGATAAATGTTATTTTTTGCCTTACATAAGGATGTAATTGCAGATGAATTGGGTTTCGCAACTTTGATTTTTTCTTTAAAGTAACCGAATATTGCAATTCCTCATCTTTAAATACAGTATGTTAATTATTTATTTTAAATATTAGAAAAAATGGGTGAAAACGTCAAACTAATAATAATTAAGTTTGCTAATTACCATTCAATGTTTTTTTTTATAAATGTAATAGACACCCCTGCAACATTTTTATAAACATTTCTATCAGTTATTCCCGGGTTTGCATTTAATGATAAATATTTCAAGTATTCACCCTTCTTCTGGGTTATATGCCTAATAACAATCACTCATGCTTTTGTGCCCCAAATCCCATTAATAACACTGATAAAACACAAAAGGCTGGGCATGTACAGCTTACACATATTAACAACAAAAGACAAGTCGAGTACGGCGACGTTCTTTGTAAATAAACAGTTACATTCACCATAAGGTTGATGTACTCACATAAGGGATAACGTTTTTAATAATAATAATAATAATAAAATCTAGACAGTTGTATGTTGAAATAACAAACTGATTTGAAAAAATAATTATCACGTTCTTGTAATCGCCACTATTTCGTAAGTACAAAACTTCATTTCATCTTGCCACTATAACAGTAAACAAAACTAACAGAAACAGTTCATTTCATCTTGCCACTATAACAGTAAACAAAACTAACAGAAACAGTTCATTTCATCTTGCCACTATAACAGTAAACAAAACTAACAGAAACAGTTTATTTCATCTTGCCACTATAACAGTAAACAAAACTAACAGAAACAGTTCATTTCATCTTGCCACTATAACAGTAAACAAAACTAACAGAAACAGTTCATTTCATCTTGCCACTATAACAGTAAACAAAACTAACAGAAACTTTTAATGTACAAAAACCGTCCCTATAACCGTCTGTAAAACAAGGTTGGATCAATCCATGAATCCAAGATGTGGAAAACTGAAAGCATGCTCGATACAGTATTATTCTTATTTGTTTTCACCTGATATTATTTCATTGGTCTATATAACTAAATCAAAGTTAAGTTTCACAGTTTATTAAGAAGTTAAGCCTATTATTTTAAGCTGATTTGATGCCAACTTTATAACTTTATACTGTCCTTATTCTGCTTTCCTACACCAATGGTCCCCCGGTGGGACAGCGGTAAGTCTTCGAATTTACAACGCTAAAATCAGGGGTTCAATTCCCCTCGCTGGATACAGCAGATAGCCCGATGTGGCTTTGCTATAAGAAAACACATGCACACCTTACAGCAATGTTTTTATATATTTGCATATATTTTATTTTAATATCCATAAAAAAGTTGTATTTTTCTTCAAGTAAACAGTCATTTTATGAACGATGAAGTTAAATTAATAATTCAAGCTGGTCTAACTAACTTGACTAATCACATAGATAAACAATAACAGTCCTTTGATTTAACTGAAAATACTCACAAAGCACTGAGAGTTCCAGCTTAGCTTCACTGGTCAAGCCGAAACCATTGTCAACGCTGCAAACGTACTGTCCGCTATCTTCGTGTGTAACAGCTGGAATGGTGTGGTTTGGAGAAGTTGACAACAGTTGACCGTCTTTCATCCACCTGATAGACCGAACGGGAGGGTTGGCAACAGCAGAACACATCAAATGTGCATCTTGATCCGTTAAAACATTCAGGGGATTATAAAGCCCTACAGTTACTCGTGGTGCGTCTGAAAAAATGAAGATGTTATCAAACATGAAATGTTCGTAACACAACTTTTTGTAATATCACATCAAGAATAAATATTTATGTTGTTTTCTTATACTATTTGACTTGGAAGATATACTTATTCTGATTCTGTTAGAAAAAGTTAAGAAGATGCAGCCATAAAAACAGTCACATTGTAAAACGTTTTCTTTAAACTTCTGCGTACTCAAACACTAAAATTGCATTTAATTTATCTATAAACATTAATTTATTCATCTCAACTCTTAATGTGTTGTATGAAAATATAACAAAAGTTTAATAGTACTGGTGATAAAAAAAATTAGTAAAAACATACAGTGAACAGTAAGTTTGACCGTAGCCATCATCCTTTGTTCCTCTCGGATTGCCCGATTCCACACAGTACACCGGTAAGTGGCGCCATCATCGTCCATTCCAGGATTAATGGTCAGTACGTTTGTTGTAGGTTTATCCCGTGACTCGCTGTTTGTAACTTGTCCATGTACAAGAATACCCTGACGATACCACTGAATCACAGGGTCAGGAGATCCACCTTGGCTGGAACAGGTTAAATCAAATGGTTCCTCTTCTCGGGCGGTAGGGTTGTTAGGCATCACAACTGGGGGACCTGGAGGAACTATAAATAATTTTTTCTTCTAAATTTTTTATTTATAATCTGTTGAAATACATTTTATTGGAATGCTATTTTGTGACTGTTTGTATAACATCCTTTTTTGTCCGTCTGTTCAGTTATTATAATTCCATATAAAAATGCTCCCTCTGTAGCTGAGCGGTAAATTTGCAGGTTTATAACTCAAAAATAGAATTACGATACATGCAATGGACAGTTTGTTTGTTATGGACTTCGCGCAAAGCATTACGAGGGCTATCTGCGCTAGCCGTCCCTAATTTAGCAGCTAGTTATCACCACCAACCGCCAACTCTTTCACCAACAAATAGTGGGATTGACGCCCTCACGGCTGAATAGACTAGTATGTTTTGTGTGACGGGGATTTGATCCCACGACCTGCAGATTGCGAGTCGTGCGCCCTAACCACTTGGCCATGCCGGACAGAATGGACAGAGCACAGATATCCCATTTTCTAGTTTTGCGTTTAACAACAAACAAAATTATATTTTAATAAATGGTTTTGGGACAGCCATGCTTCGACGCTAACATAAAAATGAATCAATTCCTATGTGTTTAATTTCCACAAAATCACACTTCACACTTTGGGGACATCGGTACGCAAAAGTTCTCATTTTTCAATCAGGGAAGATCAGGTGGGTGCTGTTGGCTAGCTACCTTTCCTCTAGTATATCAATTCAAACTTAGGGATGGCTCTGAGCAGATAGTCCTGTGTGTACTTTTGTGCGAATATTTTCAAAATCAACAATTTATACTTTAATGATAACGTCTTCGCTATCGTTGGCTGAGGCCAATCTTATGTGTCGCTGAGTCAACATTTATCAAAATATCTATAAATAACAGTGACAAGAACAAATAGCTGTTTGTCTAGACGCAAAAATACCAGATCCCGAAATGGGCAGTATTCACTCGGAACGATATTTATTACACATGTCTTGGTTGAGTACCTTGGCACTCTGGTAGGGTATTTTTACCATAGCAATAATATTTAGGTTTAATAGAATATGAATACAGTTATGCAAATTCAGTGTTTGAAACAGCCGTTCCTCAATCTTTCTTTCAAAGCAATGTATTAAATTTACCAGTTTTATTATATACTTTCAGGCAAAACTACTTTTCATACGCTACTGAAAGGAATAATACATTATTCATTATACTGTGGGTCACGTAAACCCAGTCTTGAATAATTCAAAATATATGCAGTTAGATAACGTATACTGGGGCCAGTTTCCTTTTTATATTCCAAAGAAGTTATCGTATATACTCATAGAGAGCTGGTTAAGCTGACTTTAATTTTTAAACTTGTATATTTATTCACCAAGGTCAAATTTGGGTTGGCAGGTAAATATGCAGACGAATATATTCTGAACAACTACATACTTCGCAGGTAGCAGCTGTAATTATGTAGCTATATCAAGACATTATGATTCGGCACACCAGCTGCTTACTTGTACATATAATTAACAGTTATTTATCTGTTTTTTAAAGCGATTTCCTGAAGCATAATGCCTTATGTGAACATTATGAAGATTTATTTTCTAAACAGTTCTTGGAGTTCGAAAGGTCATGATTAAATGCGTCTTTTGCAAGTCTAGTATGCCATTAATTATATTACTAAACCGTGTTTCGATAAATGTCCATTTCAATGCAATGACGTATTATAAACATTTTGAAAACTCAATTAAGTGTTGAATACGAAGCATGAACGATTGTAAAGTTAAAGCTAAATATATATATGTAAATGCGCATAGAATTTAAGAGCTGCAACCACAAGTCCTGAAATACAAGTATTTTGATTGTATTACAAGTTGCAGCTTTTAAAGAAAGTAAGATTTGTATTTAGAATAGATACAGTTAGAACAGTTTCGATCACTGGTGCAATTATTAAAATATTAAGTTTTTTTGTTTAAAATATCCTGAATCCACGATTAAGGTAGCTTATCAAGAATATGAAGTTCTATTGCCTTTATATAGCTTCTATACTCTCAGAGCAAAAGAGAATAATAACATACAAATAGTAAAGCATAGTAATTAGCTTAAAGCAAGAACTTCAGAAAGTTGAAGTTTGTAAGTAAATACAACACAGGATTATTATTTTTTGTTGCTGCTTCCATAACCTAAATTTGCAGCACTTACTGAGAACGGTGACAAGGAAAGCTTGGACAAAGATATCATTTCCACTTCCTCCCTCTTTCAGTTTGCACTCGAATTTTCCGTTATCCATTTCATATTCGGCACGAGTAATGACCAGATCGTATCTTCCTTCCTGAGGCACGAATTCAACACTGTAGTGCTCTGCATTGAAAGACACTTCTTTGATGGCAACAACGTCTGTACCGTTTCTGTTACTGTGCTTCCAGTAATACTGGATACTACGAGTAGCAAAAGATGGGTTAAACCTACATGGAAGCCGAATGTTTTCTCCTTCCACAACGTCGTTGGTTTCGTCTGGAAGCATCTGGGTGTAGACTAGAACTGAAGAGATAATACCAACAATTACTAATACTGTATTAATTCATCTAAAAGAAAGAAATTGCATATTTCAAACTTATGTAAATATTTTTTGTTGTTGTTTTATGAGAAAACATCAATATCATTGCTTGAAACCCAAATAAGTATGAAAAACATAGTTTGGATTTGATGACCCACCGTAGGCAGACAAATTTTACTGCAACCGATATTACACAGCCCGTAATCGGAACTTATTATCAAGAAACACTAAAATATTTTAGTAAACTGCTAAGAAAAACACTTGTATTAAGTAAGGTATTTATAAACATAATAATTTCTAATGACCTAGTAATAAAATTTCAACACTGTGAAATTTCGTATTAAAACTTTAGAACGAAATTATAGGACTTCTGGTTTATAAACAAGAAATAGTATATGTTGCGCATTCCTCTGGAAAATTTAGAAACCTAAAATAATATGTATTATTTTCTTACATTTTGTAACTTATTCAAGGACATTTTTTCACAATTTCATGTACGATGTCTTGTAAACTCTTCATATAAACCGAAGCGGTTGACATTTTGTGTAAAAAAAACAAAAAACATGTGTATCGGATGAAAGGCTAAGTCTTTCATACCAGTACTAAGTATCGTATAACAATCAGTTCTACGTTTTTGAAATGGTGTGTTATTTTGCTATTCTTCCAGAACTTTCTTGGAAGATTTAGGCCTAAAAAAATGTGAGACAAAATCGCGTTTGACTGAAGGTATTTTCTGTCACACTCCTGTACACATAACAATGAGAACTTTGTGTTTCTAATTATTTTAACAAGAAAAAATGGAAAAACGACTGGGAATTCCTGAACAGTATTAACATCACACTATTTGCACGTGATATAACAAATACCATGTCCATTGGCTACGAATTTTATATGACAGTTCTACAGTTGATTTCATACATCTGAATTGTGTATCAAATCCAATCTTGACCAGCCCTCTAGTGACTGAAATATAAATTAAACTATTTGCTCGAAGTAGTGTTATCTTCAGTTTAACTAATTACACTATCAGATTCCTCAGGTGTTGAATGTAATCACGTATAAGAAAAAAGAAGTTAAGGTAAGTTGTTGGTGCTCGTTGTGCTTCAACGAAAGCGCTAGTCAGGTAACTTCAAGCCTGGGTATGCAAATAATTGTATAATATGAACAATGGGTTTATACCTCAGTGAGAAAAAAAACAACCCAAAACCTGTTCACCCACAAAACAAAATATTACGTCTTGTAAACCAGGATATATTATACGTAACTGGGATAATTTTAAACAGGTTCTGGTCAAGGAATATTTCTAAATTACTCTAATGATATGAAAGACGCGATTTTATAAATTTACATATGAACAGATGTTGAAATGCTTATATACACCGTATCCATTCAAATCAATGGTGGCCTTCCTTTCGTACTGGTTACCTTACACATTACTGCTAATTTCAGAGATAAAACAAGTTGTTAGAACGTGATTCATTACACTCAACAACGGAAAGCTTTTATTTGAACATTTCGGAAGATATTCCGTATCCAAAAGTGTAATATTGTTTGGATCGCATAAGTGCTCCCCCCCCAGTGACATAGCGGTATGTCTGAGGACTTACAACACTAGAAACCGTGTTTCGATACCCATAGTGGGCAGAGCACAGATAGCCCATTGGGCAGCTTTGTGCTTAACTACAAACAAACACGAGTGTTGTGCATGTTTTATAGCCAAATTCTTAATGAATACAAGTTCTAAAGTGTAATGACTTGGAATAGATTAAACCAAAAAAATAAAAAATTATAGGGATCGAAAAAGATTGTTTATATTATTGGTTGATATTACGAAGATTTTCCAATTATAGGAGAATAAATTAAACATGACACATACACTTATTTCTACTACAGTTCATATAAAAAAAATAACAATTAACATAGAAAATAGCTCACACTGCACACGACATAATTTTCATTTTAGCAGGAGACTTGACCATTCATAAAGCTGGTTTTGTTGTAATGATAATATAGGTGGCGGAACAGGGAAAGCAATGGGGGTACGTGTTTTAAACTTTTGACCTGGTAGTAAAGCAACCCTTGGAACGGACAAATAATGGAGAATTGTATACTATCAAAGAAACCTGTTGTTTCAACGAAGCAAATAAGGTTCCCCTACCCCAATGCCCCCCAGTGGCACAGCGGTATGTATGCGGACTTACAACGCTAGAAACCGGGTTTCGATACCCGTGGTGGGGAGAGCACAGATAGCCCTTGTGTAGCTTTGTGCATAATTAAAAAACAAACAAACAAACCTGCCCCAAACTCTTATTTGTGCCGTCACCTGTGAATGATAATACAACTAAAAGCTGTTGATTGCTGAAGAAAGTAATACAAAGCGTATGAAACATATTTTGTACACGCTATAAACCTATAACCATACACAAAAACACAACCACAAGTGTCAATTGAAGACTTTATCCCGGTTGGATATCGAGCTCGTTCTTACCACGCCCGAGGTTTTGGATGGGTCCAGTCTTATCTTCGTGGGTGATTTATAACAACAAAGGCTCATTTTGAATAATATAAAGAAACGCTGTTGACAGACTCCGCGTGGCGTGATATTTTATAACTCCCACAATTAGTGGGCCCATGAGAGTCTGAAATACATGAAAAATGAAATATTAAATCGTTTTCACATTTGCTTTGGAGTTTGATATAACTGCAACGGAAAGAAATCAGGTAGATCTTATACGATCAGTTATATTGAAGAATAAAGCGTGTCTGTAATATAAAACTATATCCGACTGAAATGGGGTAAAATGTTTATTTGACTAATTATTATTGACAAATCGCTATCTTTTAAGAGATTCACTGAACATATCCTCGTACGAAGATAAATTTTGTTTCTTATCAAGAAAATATAAAAATTTCTCTTTTACTTTTTTTTAGCGAGCGAATAACACCAGGGGAATGACGTTCTTTATCATTTTCTTCTTTCGTTAATGGACTTACAAGTGCAAAAGTGGGGGTCTTTATTGTTTCGCGATAACAAAACGAGATAAAAAATTTAATTGTTTACTTCAAATCTACAATAAATGGAAAATGGATTTTTAAGTAGCCTTATGAAGTACCATGACTTCTATGCAAACAATTTAAATGTGTATGAATACTGAATAAATAATGAGTGATTTAATGAAGTTTGCATTGTTTCGTGATAACAAACGAGATAAAAATTAAATTGTTTACTTCAAGTGTGCAATAAATGGAAAATGGATTTTTAAGTAACTTTCTAAAGTACCGTGACTTACACGCAAACAATTTAAATGCGTTTGTTTTTGAATTTCGCGCAAAGCTACACGAGGGCTATCTGCGTTAGCCGTCCCTAATTTAGCAGTGTAAGACTAGAGGGAAGGCAACTAGTCATCACCATCCTCGTCAACTCTTGGGCTACTCTTTTACAAACGAATAGTGAGATTGACAGTAACATTATAACGCCTACACGGCTGAAAGGGCAAGCATGTTTGATGGGATGGGGATTCGAATCCCCGTCCCTCCAAACGTGCTGGCCCTTTCAGCTGTGGGGGAGTTGTAATGTAACGGTCAATCCCACTATTCGTTGGCAAAAGAGTAGCCGAAGAGTTGGTGGTGGGTGGTGATGACCAGAGTCAAGCGCCCTAACCACCTGGCCATGCCAGGTCATTTAAATATGTATGATTAACTGTGCCTTTCGAAATTTGATTTAATACATGATGAAGGTTTGAAACATAATTTGGTATTTTCGTTGTGTTCACTGCTTTCTATATACTTCTCTGATGATGAAGGTAAAATAAGTTAACGCATTTAGATTGTTTCTTAATAAAGATGGTTTGTACACCTTACTTTATATACTCATTCACATTTTGTATTTCTACGTAATGTTTTTAAAATACAGATTTCCTCAAAATTCCTTAGTTATCGGAATGCCACATATCTTTGTGCGTGACGAATTCAAGGCAAAATCATGATCCGTCTCGACATTTTCCGTCTAAATACACGATTCCATGAAATGGCAAATATACCTTGAGGGAAAGAGCTGGTTGTTTAGTTTATTGTTTTATTCTTCGTAAAACTGCACAGGCAATAATGAGTTGGCAGTAACAATACACAAACTAAAGTTACTGAAACAATTCAACAACATAAAAACTTTATAAACATCAAGAACTCAAGTTCATTTATTGGCACAAAAACTCACAATGTTATATTTTTTGGCCTTACATTAATTAAAATCTTCTGTAAGATATCTGGATCGCGATGTCTTGAAGCAGTCTACCCGTTCTTCAAGTTTTGGGGTTACAGAAAAACAGACATCATCAGCCTTGAAACATGAGGCGTTTGAGACAGAAACCGGCATCAGTAAAATTACACGCGCATTTAAAAGAATCAGCATGATTGCTGTTTGAAGGAGAAGGAGGAGGTCTAAATGCAATTTATTGCCCACTGTATAGAGTGACTTAACAGTGGAAGATCAGGAATTGATGAACTGGCAAGATTGCCATGCAGACTCTTTTACTTGATGTAGCACTTTACCATTAGGAATCATGACGCGCACTTTCGACTTACCAGAATAATCAGTCTGCTTTTTACATGAAAAACGTCTTTAGGACAAGTAACGTTATGCGCAACAACTACAAGTTGTTGAAAACGTCGCGTGCACATAACTTCACGTTACATATCTAATCAGTGCTGGGCACGCGGGTAATAGTTTAGTGCGAATACTTCGCACTGAAAATTTGTTCGAAGTATTCGTGTGAGTAATCGAAAACCTGCCAAAAAAATGCCTGAAGTAAATAACAGATTTTGAAACAATTTTAATTGGTATCCTCCTGGAATTGCTATAAAGTACTATTATATCAAAATGGAACTTAAATGATAACATATATATTTTTATTAAACCGTAGGCTCATGTGTATGACACACCCATGTTCAATAAAGTGAAACAGGTACAAGATAGATATATTTTTTT